CTGTGATCCACCACCATCGTGGCATCTCGTCTCTTCCCTCCTTTTTTTATTTCATGCTACATATTCTTCAGGAATTTTTAAACATTTATTACTAACTCTATGCAGAGGAGGACAGAGAGAGGTTAGAGTGGGATTATTTCTTATGAAAGAGTGCTTTAAGAGCCATTATTTAGTTTTTCACTTTGATCTGCCAAATGATCAGGATTCATGGTTACTCTTTGCAACTATGCATCTTCAGCCAGGGTGAAGCCAGACTCTTCTTACTACTCATAATGCTTGAGGGCTGTTTCAGTGCTTTGGAGAGCATGTCTTAATCAATGAACTCCTGAATACCTGGTACAGACTGATCAAGCCTGTATCCCCTTTACTGAGTTCTCAGAGAGTTCCTATCCCCATAAGTCATGGGAACAACATAACTGACCCTACTAAAAATTCAGAAGTGACACTGAGCTCAGAAATTCAGAGAACCCTAGTTCTGAGTTTCCTGTTTGCCTTCCAGTCGAGGGATGCTTATTGAGGCATTTACTATAAAATCGTGTTCATTACCGCCCATCTGTTTTTTGAAAATAATTATTTCCACAGAGTATGCTGGATGTCAGCTTATTACAGAGCTCTGGCCCTCTCTGGAGAAAAGGGAATAGTGAATTCAAAATATACTGATGACGAATGGACTATCTTGGTAGGGGTGCCAAATAGGGGTATAGAATGCATAGTAGGCACCACAGACATGCCCGAGAGACCAGCAGTATTTTTAGAGATGCCCAAATGCCTACCAAGCTCCATGATGGTGCCACCCATAAAAACAAATGAGCCAGCAGCATGGGGGAGTTAAGGTTTGGGAACAAATTAACTCACATCCTCTACCATCAAAATGATCAGACACAAAGGACATCCAAGGCAACTTTCTCAGTAAAATCCAGAACATAGCAAGAGTCATTGATCCACTCTTACAAATGCAAAGAAATGGAAGTTTTCAAAATAAATAATCAAATGTCAAAGAAAAGGAGATGTCACATTGTTCATTCATTTGTTTTCATTTCCCTTCATTCTGGTCATCACCAAAATTAGTTTATTAAGGATCTAAGGCAATCAATTATGATGTAAAGATAGAGAGATTCAGTGCCTTACCTCCAGAGAATTACAACCCTAAATCTACCACTTATTGTATTATGTGATGCTATCTTGTCTGGAATTATGTATAGATCAGAAACAACACTCAAGCTATACTGAAAATAATCTCTAGATAACTCACCAAAAACATCAGCAGTATACACTTTTTTTTTCAGGTACGTCAGCACCTACTGAGTACCTGTTAGCAGGGACCCTAGTTAGATACAGTTAGAAAAATAGATACATAGATGTTGGTTTGAAGCCTTGGGAGCTTGCTGGGTGAAATTTGAAATTGGTCCCCATGCAGGTAGGGCAAGGAGAGACTGGAGAAGAGGCAGACACTCCAGAGTGGTGGGTAGCAGGTTTAATAAGCAGGGAACTTATATACCAGGCTTGTCTCGGGCATCAGCAAGAGGAGTGGATCCCCTGGCTCGCTTGCCAGAACCTTGAGAGTTTATAGAGAGGTCGTAACTGGGTTCAGTCAGATGGTACCACCCAGCTGGTCTCAGCATCACGTTCCTCTCAAGGCTGCATCCTTGGAACAGCTCCCACGGTGGGAACTCTGGGCAGAATGCACATTCTAAGGACAGGGGAGGGGTGAGGAGACTTCCACTGCCCGGGTCCTGCTCTTGGGTCAACCAGAGGTCATGTCCTCCCCATGACCTCCTCCAACAGTAGACATTTATAATGAAATGAAATATGTTACTGCATAAAATGCTTTACAATTGTTCCCATTGCTAAGACATTCTGATGGGTAATTATAATCTTGCTGCCCCTAGTCTACGTGAGAAAAAATAATTTAGAATGTTTTTGTTTTGTACACTTAGAATATGTCTAAGCTACTAAAACTTACCATTATTCTTTTATAATCTACTAAAAAATAATCAAAACAATAATCTCCTTGATGGCCAAGACTTTCTTTATCATGCATGTTCTGCTGCAGCCCTTAGTACCTGTCTTGTTCCAACTAGGCATTCAGGAATGTGTATTGATCTGAAAGCCTCTTTTTTGTTTATTTCTGAAGACAATCCTACCTAATAGACATTAGGTTGCATCTCTGAAGATGCTCCAAACAAAACTCAAACTTGTCATCAGTTAATAACAACAGGAATTATAACCAAAACAGCAGTTCCGTGTTTTATTTGCTAACAGATTTCTTCTTAGAAAATAATTAATTATTTTGTATTAATGAACCTATGAATTGATAACTAAAATAACCTTAAAGTGCTACCCTTCACTGAATTACCACAGAATTTTTAAATGTATACTTTGTGTTTTTATATTTTACCCATAGTTTTTTCTTCAGTGTCTTTTCTCTTTCATTGTATTTAAAAGTGCAGGATTCTCTTTTCCTAAAATTGAGAAGAATGCTTTTTGTGAGATTCTAAGGAAATCTGCATGGCATCAGATAAGTCTTTCACCCTCAAATTTAAAATAAGTCAAAAAATTTTTAAATATTAAAGATAAAATTTTATTTAAAATACAAGTTTTTAGCTTCTTATGTTAGATACATCCTGTTTAAAAAAACTGTCAGATGACAAATTTCTTTCTCAATCTCAGAGAGTTACTTTTACTCAAAAAAGCAATATTGATGATATTCAGCAACTGACTACTATGTTAATTTGCTTCTAACAAGCATCAATATAAAATGAGTTGGATGCAATACCCTTCTCATTATCATTATTTTTGTGATACTGAACATTTATTGCTTGGGAGATAGAATTGTCTCTTGAGATATATTATACTAATGTGATAGAAATTATTGGACTTATGTGTGAGATCTATTTGTTCTTATCATCTTTTAGAGAAAGAAACCATTATGATGTCAGAAGGCCCTGAAGTGCATGACCATTTTTACTATGTTAATACATGAATTGTTCCTTTTCATTAAGAAATTTCAGTCGAAGATCAATGTAAGTGAAATTCTTTGTTGACCCGTTTAATAATCTAAAAGAAAGAGTTCAGAGAGTAGTCAGAAATTCTGGCCTGAATTTTACTTATTTATTATTTACTTATTATTTATCTATTTATCTGTACAGGTAACTTCCCCAAGTACTGAACTTTATTTACTGTGTTGCCTCCCTCCCTGAGAATAGCTTCTGCTCAGTACAGATTGGATATTCTGCTGCCTTTTGATTGGCCCCAGATTTTCCTCCAGTCTTCTGGAAATTAATCAGAGGCCAGACCTAGGCTTCCCCTCCAGAGTAAAGTCCATGAACTCTGTGGCAGCTCCTCCCTCTAAGGAGAGGATTTTGCTCACTTCTAGATTCATAGATGTGTTCCAGGTAGAGTCCGGCATGCAGAATGTGTGACCTCCCAGGCAGTGAAATTTTTATACACCAAGAGATCATTTTCACTTTTGTTCACGTGCCCCATATCCACTATGTTTATGTGCAAAACTTCCTGTAAGAGATTGCCAGGGAGCTCTGGGTCAAATTTCATGCTAATTCATAGCAACTCTTATTCGTGTTTTATTTACCCTCTATCTGGTTCCATCAAGGTTTTATAACCACTAAGCCATTATGGTTAACATATCTGAGTTTTCCCTTTACTTTGAAATGCAATTTCAGCTTTCTCTTTCTATATAAACAAACCCTGGGTATGTACTTGCTAAGTAAGTCAGGCCAGAAACAGTTTGAAAACATCAGTCTCAGCTGAGGGACTTCACATACATTATAGTTTTTAATGCTCATGACAGCCTTCAAATTAGGTATTACTGCTCCCCATCAACAAGTAAGTTAACTGAGACTCAAATAGCTTAAACAAAATCCCAGTGTCCTACACTTAGAAGTTATGGAGTGAGAATTTGCAGCAGATCTCTCTGACTCAAAACCCCTGGTTAGTTCTACAATAATACATGGCTTTTCAAAACAGTCAAAAAGCAAAGTAGTCTATGGCCATGACATGTTTAAACAACCACCTAGAATAGAGGTCCACAGTCGATATTCAAAATGACCCAAATCCTTTAAGAAAAGGTTGTATCTTATCCAATGTATTTCTTCAAGACCTTGAAATTCTAATACACCTTAAGAGTTTTCAACCCGGCATAGTTCTTCTTTCTATCTTTCAAGAATATCACTACTAGTGCATACATCTGAACGTCAGAAATCCACAATGATGCAGTCTCACAAGTTTAAGAAGCCACGGTCTTAAACCCAATATGGTTTTACTTTTTGCTCCTTGCACTGCTTTTAAAATTAGCCGGCCCTGTTCTAACATTAACTCTGAAGCCACAGTAACTTTACAAACATAATTAGCCTCCTATACTCATCAGGTGGACCGTGAACAATACATTCTACTCTAGGTTACAGTATATTTTACGTTTGAGCAAATAGAAGTGACCACTATGTTCATTGACATTGAATTTCTTAACATCAAGGTAAAGCTACTTTTACAACTTTTACAGCCCAAAACTAAAAACTTTTTAAAGAGTGAACTTCATCCTTACACCAGAAGATCATTAACTTATTCCATAAAACATTAAAACAGTCCATAATTCTTATATTTCCCCTGACACATATTCCTGGTATCTCTGAGAGGAACTGGGCTTTGAACATTCGTTAAACCTCATATCAGTAAAGACAATAATCTCCCAGCATTGAGACAATCACAACAAGGGCTCAAAATAAGTGGATTCTGGTTTTAAAAATGGAGATAAACCACATCATTAACTAAATCAAATTTGCCCACATTCTGGTCATGACAACGCATTGATAATTTTATTACATTGTTTTCAGTAAAGCCCTTGAAATTCATTCATTTCAAGGTTGTTGACCAGAAAAACATGGAAACATAGGCTACCTGGTACAACTTTTCCAAACTATGACAGCTGATTTTGACTCCATCAGTCACATCATAAAGCTGTGTTTGCGAAATCTCACCAGTCTTACCGTCAGTTTCTCCTCTAAATTCTGGTTTAATAAGCTTCCTTTTTCATGCTTTTCGAATTCCATGTTGAAAGAGAATGAGACAGAGAGACAGAAAAAGTGAGATTCCGATTCCGTCTAGAAAACGATGTGACGTGCTTACGTGTTAGATATTGCAGGACATTCCAACTTGTGAGAGCCCAGGACACTATCAGAAAGCCCTGGCGATAATTTCTGGTTAGCTAGTGTTTCCATTTATAGATGTTCAAACCCCATAAACAGAGCACTGAAGAGAAGTCAGGCAGCTGGCCTTAGATAATGATAAATGTCACTTGATGTAAAAGCAAACTCTCCAACAGTAGAATATCCCAACACGTTAGGTTACCTGAGTCAAGAAAGATGTCTGTGACAAAAAGCCACTATCAAAGAATCCATTAGTAGCCATTGCAGCACAATAAAATATACTCTAGAATGTGGGCCTAATAAATCAATTTTAAAAGGACAAATGTGATGGTCATATAGCAAATATGAATCAGCCAGTCCCATTCTTCCAAATTCCAGTTTGGGTCCCAGTAGTCTAGACATTTATGCATTATTTTGTAGCTCAAAACTTTAAAAAGTCACTTAAAGGGAAGTTCAAAGGATAACTAATTAAAACTATTCAGACACACAACACATATATTCAATGGGTGTCAGTTTTATTCCATGAAAAGTGGGCAAATGATATTTAGAAACTTTATGAAAGGAAAGTGTTTTCCTTCACAAAACTGATTTTTTCTTCATTATCCTGGCTTTTCTACTGGGAACAAAGTTATGACAGAGAAGATGAAATTCATTTCTCCAATGGAACAAATGTTCTCAGAATTCTTTAGAAAGTGTTACATGCTTGAAAGAAAATTAACTGTGTGGCATGATGGTAATTAACTCTCCAGGGTTTTTTCTTGTTTTTTTTTTTTGCAGCAGCAGCAAACTACATATGCGAATGGCAATAAAATATAAAAATGGCTTTCAGAGTAAGCTAAGACTGATCTCTACAGTAGCCTAGTCTCTCAGCCTTTTCAAACATCATTTTCACAACTGTTTGTGATCGTATCTCAAATTTCCTATTGGTTTTTCCTCCACTTTTAGGAAACATTTTAGGAAATGAGTTATGAGGCTCTGTCCTTTAGCGTGATTACAGCTGGTTCTCTATTGCCAGGCAGCGTTGCTCTAGAGCTTACTCTGCGCCAGGATGGAAGGGCTGAGGATTCCAGAAGTGAAACATTTAGTAGAAATAAACCTAGCTAGCCCTGCTTCAGGATGAGAATTCAGAAATGGTCTATCAGACCCATGGGCCAAAGGGGCTTCCCTCTTTGGCTCACCTCTGAGTTCCAGAAAGGGAATCACACATGTTGTCCTAATACGTTTGCAATGAAGTCTTATAGGCTGAATAGCAGGCAAGATTGGTATATGTCAAAATCAAGGCAAGAGTTGAAATTTTATGTGAAGGGAACTTCCAAAATCTCTCTAGGGAAAAAAAAGGCATGCTACGGCTGCAAAAGGAAACAGTTATTGCTAGTGTAATGCCGGAAGGTGAAATTCAGGATCCAGTTGGGAGTAGGGGGATGGTAGGATGCAGAGCCGGTTGGAGAAGGAGAAGATAACAGGTATAATGACAGGGACATGCCAGTGCCAGTGGGAGGGGTGGGAAGTTTAATTCAACAAACATGTACTGAGTATACATAATGGGTGAAGATTACCCTAGATTCAGGCAGATTTTTAAAAAATAATGAATAAAAACAATAAAGTGAAAAGATACAATCTCTACTTTTCTTCCCCAACAACTCACAATGTAAACGTGACTGTATATAAATAAGATATAATAGCACTCTTACATAGCACAGTCCCATAGCATTCACCATGTGCCAGGAGCGGTTTTAAGACTTTCCATATATTACCTCAATTAATTCTCTAAACCACTTCTAGAAGGTAGATACTGTTCTGCCTACTTCTTTCTGGTGTTTGTTAAACACTTCTAGGTAGATACTACTATTTTCTCCGTTGTTATGAGATGAATTGTGTTCCCCCCAAAATCCATACATGGAAGTCCTAACCCCCAGTCTCTCAGAATAAGATTATATTTAGAGACAGGGTCTTTACAGAGGTAATTAATTTAAGATGAAGTCATAAGGGTGGGGGCCTAATCCAATATGACTGGTGTCCCTGTAAGAAGAGGAGATTAGGACAAAGATACACACAGAGGGAAGACCATGTGAGGACACAGAGAGAAGATGGCCATCTCCAAGCCAAGGAGAGAGCCCCAGAAGAAACCAACCCTGCTGACACCTTGATCTTGGACTTCTAGCTTCCAGAACTGTGAGGAAATATATTTTTGTTCTTTAAGTCACCCAGTCTGTGACTTAACAGACTAGCAGTGCTAGCAAATTAATGCACCCATTTTATAGTTGAAAAAATAAGACACAGTTACACAGCCAATAGCTGGCACTCAAGCCCCCTGGCTCAAGCACCTACCCACTGGGCACTTCAGCACCTCTGAACAAGTAATCTCATCCCAGGCACAACAGGGCAAGTGGGTCTGTAGCCTTAGCACTGTATGGTGAGGACCACTTACTCCATCCGTGTACAGAGATATGCTTAAATATATTTTACATATGTTTTAGGGACAGGGGCTTTCTTAGGTAAGATCATGCCCATGCAAAAGCCAGCCCTTGTCCACTTGCTGGTCCAACAGAAGAGATGAGCTACATGGGTCTCCTTCCTGTTCATCAATCACGACAAACACGTCTCCTTCCCCTGATCGGAGAGCCCTCTCTCCAGAGTCACGTGGCTCCATGCTCCATTCTCCCTTCACCCAGAGCTTCCCCAGTGACCATCTAAAATAGCAAACCCTCTGTCCACTCATTTGCCGTTTTCTCCTTCATAGCTCTTATCACCTCTGGCAGTCTATTATTTCACATGATATTTGAAGTTTATACATATCTAATATTTATTTGCAGTTCATCTCTCCTACTACTGTATAAGCATCAGAGGGTGCTTTATTCACCACTTTATCCAGGCACTTTGAACATAATAAGGACTAAATAAAGGATTTGTAAAAGAAAGAGGGCAGGAGAGAGAGGAAGGAAAGGAAAAAGCAAAGAAGGAAAGAGGGAGGAAGGGAAGGAGGGGAAACGAGGGAAATGTATCAAATGGATGTGACAAGACATTTAATGCACTGTTATTTAAAAGACTTTTGGTAGGAAACACAGGAATAAAATGCATGTTTATCCAATGCAAATCATACTATAGATGAATACAATATGGATTGCTCACCTATCTTACTCAAAACACTAGCCGTGGGGCTTCCCTGGTGGCGCAGTGGTTGAGAATCTGCCTGCTAATGCAGGGGACACGGGTTCGAGCCCTGGTCTGGGAGGATCCCACATGCTGCGGAGCAACTGGGCCCGTGCGCCACAACTACTGAGCCTGCGCATCTGGAGCCTGTGCTCCGCAATAAGAGAGACCGCAATAGTGAGAGGCCCGCGCACCGCGATGAAGAGTGGCCCCCGCTTGCCACAACCAGAGAAAGCCCTCACACAGAAACGAAGACGCAACACAGCAAAAATAAATAAATTAATTAAAAAAAAAAAAAAACACTAGCCGTTAGAGTAAAGGAGAAATAAGTAGACTCAGGAAGCAGGAAGAATTGAATTTATTTGCAGATTCTGCCACTTTCTAGTTGGGTCACTTTGAGCAAATTAATTCTCAGAGTTTCAGTGCCCTCTCCCTTTAATAAAGGAATGATATCAATCTCTTAATGTTATGACAAAAATTAAAATGTGGTAACAGGTGCAAAGAACTTCAAACAGTGTCTGCCATCAAGCAGGTTCTGGGTGAAAGTGCGTGCCATTATTTCCCTGGGCTTCATGAAGTTTATCTAGGAAAAAAAGTTCACTTCAAAGATAGTATCAAAGTCCTAACAAATGTGGCAAAAAAATTAACAGAGAGAATGGGAGAAAATATTTGCAAATCATTTATCTGATAAGAGACTTGTATCCAGAATACATAAAGAACTCTTACAACTCAACAATTAAAAAAGACAAATAAACCCAATTTTTGAAATGGGCAAAGGATTTGAATACACCTTTCTCCAAAGAAGACAAACAAATGTCCAACAAGCACATGAAAAGCTGTTCAACAAAATTGTGATTAAGGAACCCAAATCAAAGCCACAATGAGACAGCATTTCGCACCCCCTAGGATGGCTAAAATCAAAACAGACAGTAACAAGCATTGGCAAGGATGTGAGTAAAAGAAAGCCTTGTACATTGCTGGTGGTTACAAAGTGGAACAATCACATTAGAAAACAGGGTGGGAGTCCCTCAAAACCTTATATACAGAGTTACGATATTATCCAGAAATTCTACGTCTAGGTATATACCTAAAAGTTTTGTATATGTTCATACAAAAACTTGTAAAAAAATGTTCATGATAGCATTATTCATAATAGTCAAAAAGTGAAAACATAAATGTCTATCAACACATGAAAGGGGATATATCATACAGAAGCATATTACTCAGCAATAAAAAGGAATGAAGTCTTGATACATGCAGCAATGTGGATGAACCTTGAAGTGAAAGAAGCTAGTCACAAAACGTCACATATTACAATTCATTTATATGAAGCGTCCAGAATAGGAAAATCCATAGAAATAGATAATGGTTGCCAGAGGTTGAGGGGAAAAAGCAGACTGGAGTGACTGTTGATGGGTAGGGATGGGGTTTTTGAGGGTGATGAAAATATTCTGAAATTAGATAATGATGATGACTACATAACTCTGAATATGCTAAAAAGCACTTAATTGTATGTATACTTTGAAAGAATGAATGTTATGGCATGTGACTTATAGTTCAATGAAGGTACTATTTAAAAAAAAAAAAAAGAGGAAGATCTATAATTCCTTTCTAAGATGGAAATTTATGATTTTTCCCCAGGAATATAATATGAGCAATGGGTCGCTCCAAACAGGAAATTAAAATCTACTCTACGGTAGGCCAGCAAGAATTTCATTCAAAAGTGAAACAAATGACCCTCAGCAAATGATATTTGCTTCAAGGCACTGCCACCTCACTCCATTCCTTTGCATCATCACCATATGCCTTGTGGGGCTGGGGAAATCTCAGCTGCTCAGGTTTTGCGCTCATATTCAAAAAC